ACAAATATCGTATGATCCTACTTACATGAAATATCTAGAATAGACAAATGTCTGGAGACCAAAGTTTATTAGTGGCTACTAGGGCTTAGGGGAAAGGAGAAAATGGGGAGTTACTGCTTAAAGGGTACTGAGTGTTTGTTTAGGGTAATGAAAAACTTTTGGAAGTGGATAATGGTGATGGTTGCACAACATTGTGAATGTAATTAATGTTACTGAATTGTACACTTCTAAATGGTTAAAATGGCAAATGTTTTATGCATATTTTCCCACAATAAATTTTTTTTTAATTAAAAAAAGGAGGGGGGATAACAAGTGTTGGGGAGAATGTAGAGAAATTGTAACCCTCTTCCACTGCTGGTGAGAATGTAAAATGGTGCTGTGGCTGTGGAAAAGTTTGAAAGTTCTTCAAAAAGTTAAACATAGAATTATCATATGACCCAGAAATTCCATTCCTAGATATATACCCAAAATAATTGAAAACAGGAACCCAAACAGATACTTGTATGAAAATGTTCGTGGTGGCATTATTCACAATAGCCAAGAGCTGGAAACAACCCTAGTGTCCGTCAACAGATGAATAAAACAAAATGTTAAATATACATACAATGGAATATTATTCAGCCATGAAAAGGAATGAAGTTCTGATATATGCTGCAACATGAACAAATCTTGAAAAATTGTTCTATGTGAAATAATCCAGGCACGGAAGGACAAATATTGTATGACTACACTTATATGAAATATCTGTAATAGGTAAACTCATCGAGACAGAAGGTAGATTAGAGGTTACCAGAGGCTGGAAGAAGGGGGGACTGGGGAGTTATTGCTTAATGGTTACAGAGTTTGGGAAAATGGAAAAATTTTGGAAATAAATAGTGGTGATGGTTGCACAACATTGTGAATGTAATTAATGCCACTGAATTGTACACTTAAAAATAGTTGAAATAGCATATTTTATCATCATGGAAGAAAAAAAAGAGCAAAAACCACCAAAAAAACAAAGCATATATAAAGGCAGTGAGTAAGTTTAGGAAACATAACACACTTGTTGTACACCTATTTGGCTAAACAGTGAACAATCTCTAATTATGATAATGTAAACAAAATTAGCTTTATTAAAAATTGTGATGCAATTATACTGAGAGGATGTGAGCCCTGGTGGTGCAGTGCTTAAGAGCTCAGCTGCTAACCAAAAGGTTGGCACTTTGAATCCGCCAGCCGCTCCTTGGAAACCCTATAGCGCAGTTCTCTGTAGAAGAAAGGGGACAAGATTTATGTTATCGAAGACTTCCCTACGTTCAGAGTTTTCTTTGATTGCCAAGGCTGGAAGATAACAACTTTTATTTTATAAAGGAAGCCAGTAGTCCTAGAAACACACTTAGATAAACAAAGCTACCAGCAAGGCTTCTCTATGGGGTTTTCCATGCAATTCAAGTCTAGTGTCCTAAAAAAAAGTCTCCAAGGTCAAATTAATGGGAGATCACTAAATACACCTGCCTTTTGAGATTTAAAATGTATATTAGCATGTTAAAGGTTCCAGCATTCCCTCAATTTTTTTGCCACCAGAATTCTTTTTTAAATTTATCCATTAAGTGTTCAAGGAACTAAAGTTTGGGAAACAGTGCTAAGTAGTTCCACTCACACCCTCGTGGTGCATTAAGAGCCACTTACTAGGGAGTTTAGAGTGTAAAACAGTGTATTACAGGGTATGTTGAGGGATAGGGGTGAGACCTAATGTTAGTATATTTTTCTTGGTTGATTCCTAATGCCAGCAGCCCCCTGAGCCAAAAGAAGGTCTCAGGAAAGATCATTGCTCCCTTTATCCGGTTATGGAGGTTATTAAGTTTGCCTGAGGCCAGCTTTTACAAGCAGATCAGGTGATGTGGGTTCAAGAGGTAGAAGTCAGGGTGACCACTACTGCTGCTTCTAAATTCTTGAATATTGTTGTTAGCTTCTAGTGCTCTTGCAGCTTTTTTCCCCTTTCTATTTGATGTTGTTTATAGACCTTTTGATAACGATTTATTGCTTTCTTTTGCATAGTAAATCACTAAAACCCGTTGCCATCAAGCTGATTCTGACTCATAGCAATGCTGTAGGCCAGAGCAGAACTGCCCCATAGGGCTTCCAAGGAGTGGCTGGTGGATTTCAACTGCTGACCTTTTGGTTAACAGCCAAGCTCTTAACCAAACCCGTTGCCGTTGAGTCAATTCTGATTCATATACCTAGTAGTAAAACACTATGAAGAAAAATAGTACAAAGAAGAAAATAAAAGTCATTTGTAATCTCACCACTTAGAAATATCCATTGCAATGAACAACTTTTTGTCTGTGTGTATTGTGTATACAAATGTGAGTTGGTGTATTTTTACAATATAAATTTGTATCTTTGTTTTCTTAACTCACATTATATCATGGACACTTTTCTATCCCATTTTAAATAATTTGTATACATCTTTTTAAATGATTTCTCAATAGCACATCATTTGAAGGTACCATAATTTATTTATCCATTTCCCTATCATTGCATATTCAGGTTGTGTTTACTTTTCAACAGCTATGTAAATAAAATGAAAATGCAATCTGTTTCTTATGGGACCACATGAAAAATAACACAATAGATTTTCACCAAACTTGGAGTGTGCGTTTGGGATGGCTGGACTTAAAGTACAGGCTGTGTAGAATAGGGCATACTCATGTTGTGGAGTCCTGCGGGGCACCTCAAATTGATGAACAAGAATCCTCGAGAGCAACTGCAATGAAAAGAAAGACTCATGAAACTGCCAACTTGGGTGGAGGTGCAGGAGACTTGACAACCATATTAAGACACGACAAAAAACAAACCGCATGGCTTCCATTTTTGTGTCCCCAATGGAAAGCATGAAAGCATAGAAACCTAATCACTACTGATTTGCAATCAAACTGCTTTTTATGTAGGTATGAGGAATACCAAGGACATTGCTGTCCAACAGAATTTTGTAATAATGGAAGTCTAGAATATCCACTGTCAAACACTTGGGACAAGAAGCCAACCAGGGAGAAGCAAAATTATCTATTAGGCCATCGATAGATCAATTAATTCATCTATCAACCCATTCTTCCTTCTGTCTTTCTAACCACCTATCACCCTGTTGGCAGCTGCCTGGGTTTCCCCATGATCTTCAGCCTTATGAAGTCACCTTTTCATTGAATGTTTAAAAGAATAGCTTGAGCTCTTATCCTGAGGATAAGGAGAGACTTAATGTTCCTTTGATATCTCTGAGAATTCTTAGAATTTCCAGCTGAATTTTAAAAAATATCACTTGTATCTTTCCTCCCTTCTCCCTACCCTGCTTCAGCCCAAGATAAAACACAGCCCCTTTCTTTTTTTACTCAAGGTTCTTCTCACATAAGGTAGTCATGTGTAGTAGAATTTACTCAAGATTTGGCATTAAAGCTAGGCTGTTTCTCCATGGTCAGTTTTCCACCTTGGTCCCCTTGGTCTCCAAGATCTTGCTCTCCTCTCGTCTTCTTAATTTATCATCTTTCATCCTTTCTCAGTCTATCCATCGGAAGTTCATATTTTTTCCCATTTTTTAGCAGAGCAATGCAGTTCTTTCACTTAAATAGTCCATTCTGGTTGTGTCTTGTGGGTTTCCTCTTTTATCCTAGAGAGATCATCAAGATACCCTTCTAAACCTTGATGATCTCCCCCTTAGAAGAAAATGCACCCAACATTTAACATAAAAAACTTTCACCTACCCATTCATATCATCTGTGAACTCTTGCTGTTCAGTCTTCCATCCATCCATTTATTTAATCTATTGATCACCTTGTCTGCTCATGTTCCGCATTAATCTATTTCTCATCCTCTGGGGACTCAGAACTCTCTAAGGGAAATTTCCTCTCACTTTTTTTTTTCTGGTGTGAAATTTATGCATTACAAAACTATCAGCTGCCTTGAAATAGATAATGGGGAAATAGATAAGAGGTGCCTGACAGGGAACAAGAGTTATCTTTGCTTTGGGCAAAGGAAGGGTAGATAAGACCCAAGTTAGAATTAAGTGGACAAAGACAACTGAGATTGCAGGCCAGTCCCTGCAAGGGCCGGGCCAGGAATGAGATGCTTACAAATGTCAAAAGGTACTGGGTTGGTGGAAATACACACACTCAAACACCCCTATACACATTCAGACGTACTTAACACTATCTTGTGCTTACCTTGAATGCAGCCCTGCTCCCATTTTACTGATGATAAAGTACAAGCAGTAATAAACTTGTAAAGTCTTTAACAAGAGTGTTTCTGAAAGTTTAATTCCTTCAGTATGTCATAGAGGTTCTGCAATTGGATGGGTCACTGCCAGTGCTAGAACTGTAATATATGTATTTATGTTATATATCAATATTTAATATTTATATTATATATCAGAAAATCAAAGCCAAACCTGTTGCCATCAAGTTTGTCACAACTCATAGCGACCCTATAGAATAGAGTAGAAATGCCCCATAGGGTTTCCAAGGAGCAGCTGGTGGATTTGAACTGCCGACCTTTTGGTTAGCAGCTGAGCTCTTAACCATTGTACCACCAGGGCTCTGTATTATATATCAGGATTTATTTAAAATTTGTATTATATATCAGGATTGCTTTAGATTTGCTGTTTGTTCTTACTCAGAAGGAGTCCCTGGGTGGCACAGTTAAGCGCTCAACTACTAGCTGAAAGGTTGGTGGTTTGAGTCCACCCAGAGGAATCTTGGAAGGCAGGCCTGGAGATCTTCCCAAAGGTCACAGCCTCGAAAACCCTACGGAGCAGTTCTGCTCTGAAATACATGGGGTTGCCATGACACGGAATCAAATAGACTCCTTGGCAACTAACAACATTTTTTTTAAGTAGTTGAGCTTAATTTTGTAGCATTAGAAAGATAGGCCAAGTTTGAAATAAATTCTGTTCTTCAAAATACAAATTCCATGCTTCAAAATACTCCCACACCACCCTAAAAATGATCAACTATTGCCTTTTTTCTTAGGCAGGAAAAGTTACTCCGATTGGATACAGAGTTGCAAACTGCTTGACTGAAAAACTTCCCAGGGTGAGCATTTTCACTATGCATTTGGGCTTATATCTTTATTTACTTTGCACATGAACATTAAAAGATAAGACAACTCTCAACTTTCCGTATGAAGTTGTATAGACTTATAACATGGTCAGTTTGGATTTACTGTATTTTGAGGCCTTCTATTGCTTTTCTCTAAGGGAGTAAAAATTCCAAACTTAACATTTTCCAGCTTTACAAAAACTACATGGTATTAAATTTATTTCAGTAGGAAATAGTCATTTATGGTATGTTTTCTAACTTGGCTTACTTCCTGGTTATTTTCTAAATAAAGCTATAAAAATATGCTGCTTATTTCCACATATAAATTTTAGGAAATTTTATTATTTGGAGCTATAGTCCTCTATGAAGGAGCTCTGGTGGCCCAGTAGTTAAAGCGCTCGGCTGCTAACTGAAAAGTCTGCAGTTCGAACCCACCAGTTGCTCCATGAGAGAAAGATGTGGCAGTCCTTTTCTTCCGTAAAGATTTACAGCCTTGGAAACCCCACGGGGCAGTTCTACTCTGTCCTTTAGGGTTGCTATGAGTCAGAATCCACTCGATGGCAGTAGGTAGTCTCCCATGTACTTACTACAAACATGCAATTAAGGGTATTTATTGATTGGTATAGATCAGTCCTGTTAATATTTTTAAAACCATAATTTATCTAAATAAAATCAATCTATGTAAGATTCTAACTGTTTTCTTGCCTCATTGTAGCTCATTACTCCACCTGAGGCAAAAAAGTTTTTCAACTTCAGATATCCACCTGCTGGAGCTGAAAGAGTGTTTTATGGCAGAGCAAATGACCCTCAGATTGCACCTAACTTGACACATGGCATAAAATCCAGAAGCTCAATACCGGTAACATGTTTTTCTTTTTTTCCCCTGCACATTATTCACTTACTAAGGTGAAGATGCACAAACGACATATTGGTGAGATTCATTTCCTTCCCACCCTTCTTTTTACTAGCCCTTCCTCAATCTGTCCTCTAAAAATGTTAATCTTGAGCAATGAAAAAAATTCAAGAAGGAGCAGCCAAGTCAGTGTAGAGAAGCCAGTGGTCTAAGCCACAAACTATATCTTCTCCCTGTTAGATAATAAAAGACAAGTTGCATCCCATTTTCTCCAAGTAAAGAGGGGTGCTGTCAGGCTGTGTTAGAGAACAAAGAAAACAGTCTTGGAGACTCTTGCCTACAGAGTGTGGCTATATATACACGGCGTATTGATTGCATGAAAAGTCTAGATTCAGATAACCCCATCTGTATATTTGGAGCGAACTTGTGGAAATCACATGTTTCCTGTGCTTGCCATTCCCACTTTTATGGAATTTTTATTTAAGTAACCTGGAAGGTCCTGCCATAACCTTTTAACCCTATGTAAAGCACATATTGAGGCTGATGAATACATAAGCTTCATAGCCCCAATTCTGACATTTCATTTGGGGGTGAGAAAAGCTAATGATAAGGATGAAATGTTTTCCTACAATCATATATTCTCCTCTCCCCAGCTGTTGACTGGGGTTACAGTTTTCAGATTTGTATTTTTTGTTTTTACATGTGTGCTTTTTATGATTTCTTTAGGCAAACATGTTGATAAATCCACAGCCTATTACCACATTTCAACAAAAAATTAAAGATGAAAAAGAATCTATATATTTTAGCCATCAACGAGCACCATTAGGAAAATCTCATGATCAAACAGCAGGATTACCTAAAGGAATGGATGTAATCAATACGACCTTTGGGACAGCAGTCATCAGAGGTAGTGAAAACATAAGAGGTGGTGAGGGGGTGGTAAAATAAATCTTCTTGGGAAATGGGATTAACTCTTCTGCTGGTGTAGTATTTGGAGAGTTGTGTAGACGACTGTAAATGATGATTCAAGAATAAAAGAATCATAGCAAGAATCAGAACCTTAGCGTTCATATGTGTCAAGGTGGTACAAGCTCAGACTTTGGAGCAGGGATTCAGTGAGTATACTAGAACTGGTGTAAAGACTGGAGAGACTCAGAAAAGTTGACATTGAGACCAGCTATGAGGATTGCAACCCCTTCCTGGTCATCCATTTGTGTGTTTTATTTCTACCAATGCCTCTTATGTGTTCATAACTCTTAACTCTCTGTTTCATAAAGTAGACCATGGGACAAGGAAGTGTGGTAAATGCTGCATACCGCACTGCATCTATGCAGATCCATAATAGTTGCATATTCTCCAAGTACGAGGCAGTGTATATGGCAGGCTTCACTGCCATTTTGAGGCGGAGTAGAGCATGTCTTGTAAACGAGAACAATCTATTACAGAACTGCTCACTGGCCATGCTTTTCTTCTGAAGCCCCAGCCTCCCGCCATGTTGTTGGACACCTTTCTCTACACTAACCTCACATTCCTCTCCTACTATCCTTTCCAGGCCTCTTACCCTTTTCCTCCAGGGGGCTTACCACAGGAGACCCCAAAGTCCATTTTTATTTATCCTGCAAAGAAATTCAGTTCTTGCTTTGTATTTTTGCACCCATTAAAGCTCTGCACCAGAAAACAAATCTAGGCCCACTAGGTTATTTTCCTTAACATCTACCCTGGAGATAAACCATGCTGCTCCCTTAGAATGCAGAATCTGCAATTGTACCTTATTGCATCTGATCTAAGGTGCCATCGAGTGTAAGACACCTGAGAGATGTTAAAATAGCTGTTATCTAGGGTTAGTTCATTTTTAATATGGAAAGTATTTTCTAGGTATACTTTTAAATATATACTAGAAAGAATGCTTTAAAATGTGTGTGTGTGTGTTTGTGTGAATAGGGGAATGGTTTAACATATCAAAAGAAGTACTACTTTACAGGGTTATTTTAAGTGGAAGCATCTTCTGGTATTCTTAACTATTTGTTTACAGGTCCCAATCCTTGGGAGAGGCCAAAAGAAAGGAAAATGTGTTAATCTATGTTAGGTGCCAACTGTGTTGGTTGAAAGGGAAGAATGAAACTGTAAAGGAAGGTACATTTAAAAGTTATTATGTAACACAATGAAAACAAAATAATTCACATATTCAAAAGTGGGGACCACCAGTCATGGGAAAGCAGCTGTTAAACAAACATCTAATAGCTCTGGGTTTGGAGCCAGTAGAATGAAGAATTTCTTCCTGATTCCAATGATTTCTCTGACGTCTTTGGCTACTTTTGAGGATAGAGTTTCAGATCAAAAGAGACTCCAGGTGTGTGCTCCAGTCTGTAACTGGCAAAATTTGCACCACGGCTACTCCGTAGAGCATTGGGGTTTCTGTAACTGATGTGTGATTCAAGTCTGCTTAGGTCATCTTGAGAAGTCTGGAGCAAACTAAAACCAAATTTGTGCAGAGATTCTCAGAATCAGGAATTTAACTGGGCTTGCAACAGTGGCCCAGGGGAACCTAAACAGTTAGCATTCTTCAGAATGCTAGGGAGTGAGTCAGGTCAAGTGGGGGTCCTAGCATAGTTCACCTAAGCTCTGTCCTGTCTTTTTTGATAAATTTTCATTTATGTTGGCTTCATGATCTCCTAGGGTGTCAGTGTGGCTTATGCAGTCAGCATACTCCATTTGTCATTTATTCTAGCCAATTTAAAAGCGTTATAAATGGATGAAAAATACCTTAAAGTTGGTAACTTTCATTAATTCTGCTTTCAGAATTCTCAGCTAGAGATGTGGTGAATCCACCAAAATCCTATGAAGAAGTATTGAAAGAAGGAAAAGAAGGACATGATCTATATATTGTTTCTCACAATGATTATGATGTGGGTAAGTGTCCTCCAGTTTAAAATGGGCCTGAGTATTTGGGACCGTCAGATTCATGCCTGGTGCATAATAGGTGCTCCATAAATGATACCTGTTATTATTATTCTTAAGGTCATAAACACTGAAAGCTGGGAACATATATACTTATGCATTTTATATATAAAATGTGGAAATATATATATATCATTAAAATAAAAAAGCAGCTAAGAAAGTTTGAATGTTATATAGTCGTGCTTTATTTTAGTGGTTTTAGAGTTTATAAGTTCTTTTTTTTTATAGAAAGCAAGTGGACACTGTCTTTTTCTTTTTTATTGTACTTTAGACGAAGGTTTACAGAACAAATAGATTCTCATTAAGCAGTTAGTACACATATCGTTTTATGACAATGGTTAACAACCCCACGACACGTCGACACTGTCCGTTCTCAACCTTGGGTTTCCTATTACCAGAGTTTCCTATTGCCTTCTAGTCCTTATTCCTGGGCTGTTGTGCCCCATTAGTCTCGCTTTGTTTTATGGGGCTGTCTAATCTTTGGCTAAAGGTTGAACTCAGGAGTGACTTCATTGCTGAGCTAAAAGTGTGTCTAGGGCCCATACTCTCAGGGTTTCTCCAGTTTCTGTCAGGCCAGTAAGTCTGGTCTTTTTTTGTGAGTTAGAATTTTATTCTACATTTTTCTCCAGCTCTGTCTGGGTTACAAGTTAGTTCTTATTCTAAGTGCTTAGCTTTATATGAGGAATATTGGGTAGTGGTCACGTGACTTAGATCCTAGCTTGTCCATTTGCTACCTTTTAGACCTTGGACAACTTCCTTATCTAATCTCTTAAATGGGGGGTAATAATAGTACTGGGAATCCCTGGGGAGTGAAAATTGTTAAAGTGCTCAGTTGCTATCTGAAAGGATGGATGTTCAGGTCTACTCAGATGCACCTCAGAAGAAAGGCCTGGTAATCTACTCCTGAAAAATCAGTCATTGAAAATCCTGTAGAGCATAATTCCACTCTGACACACATGGGGTCATCATGAGTTGAAGTTGACTCAATGGCAACTGGTTTGTCGCATAACATTGTTGTGAGGATTAAATGAGCGCATGGAAAATGCTTAGCATAGTGCCTGGAGCTCAATGAATATTAGTCATCATTATTAAGTGATCTTGTTTAATAACAACATATTACTAGAATTATTCTACAGCACAATGAAAAGGCATTAGATGTTTATAATGCTGTAAAATACAACTTCATTGCCAATTTGTTGATGGTAGTAGAGCCTTGATATAACAGAGGATTGAAAATTAGACTCTGGTACATGTCCTGAGAGGAGCCCAGGTGGCACAGTGGTTAAAGTGCCCAGCTGCTAACCAAAAAGTTGGCAGTTTGAACCCACCAGCCACTCTGCGGGAGAAAGATGTGGCAGTCTGCTTCTGTAAAGATTGATAGCCTTAGAAACTCTATGGGGCAGTTCTACCCTGTGCTATAGGGTAGCTATGAGTGGGAATCAACTCAACAGTTGGAAGCAACAGCTGCCCTTCACTCAGTGCAATGCCCTTCTCTCTGTTTTTTTTTTTAATTGTTGTAAAAATATATATAACACAACATTTGCCAATTCAACATTTTTCACGTGTAATTGATATCAATTACATTATCTCCTTTCTGATTTCTTTACTTTTTCTCCTCCATAGCGCTCTCACACCATACTCCTTCTCTCTGATCATGGGTGGGGCTTGTCTCTTACCCCATTTCTCCATCTTTCGGAATCTGCCATTCTCTTCTCTCCTAGCCGGTCTCTGCTGGTTCCCAGTCCTGAGATTGCCTCCACCCCCCCACTCAGCTGGACGCTGCCTCCTGCGACTCGGATGCCGCATTCCTCTTCACTACCTCGACTTCTCCAGCCCTCCACCACTCCTTTCTGCCCGCCCTGCTTCCATCCTTCCCTCCCTTCCTTCCTTCCCTCTCTCCCTCGCTTTCTTCTTCCTTTCCTCTTTCTCACCCACCCTCCCTCCGTCCCTTTCTGCTTTCCTCTTTTCTTCCCTCTTTCTCTTGTGAAAATATTTTATTCATGCTTTGAAAAATTTTAGCTTCTATTTTGCAGTCTAACCTAATACCTTTTAATTATTTTTAAAGGCACTGTATTAATAAACATTGAACTTATAATGAGGTATCTTGTATGCACTTAGCAGTCTGAGAAAAATTATTGTAGATTTTTTTTTTGAAAGAGCCCTAATGGGCCACAACATAACTGAAATTACCTTCCTTTGCATATTTTGATGGAAGTTTCATTAGCCACTTGAAAAGTCCTAGAACCTAATCTTTTTAATATTGTCCTTATTTTTTCTCATAATGAAAGTACCTTTTATATTATAAAAAATACATAATTGTAGAAAATTTAAATATCATGAAAATTTAAAGAAAAAGTAAAAGTAATCTTGAAAAGCCATTAGCCAAAGATATCTATATTTGATTTATTGGTGAACATCTTTCTAACCCACATCCATTGAACTATCTTTAGATAAATGGGACAATACTCTCCATGCTTTTGGGGAATAAGCTATATACATTTTTAATCATTTTACTGAAAATAAGGAGACCTGGTGACACAGTGGAGCCCTGGTGGTACAGTGGTTAAGAACTTGGCTGCTAACCAAAAGTTGGGCAGTTCAAATCCACCAGCTGCTCCTTGGAAACCCTATGGGGCAGTTTTACTCTGTCCCATAGGGTCGCTACGAGTTGACTTGGTGGCAACATGTTTTCAGTGGGCGGCACAGTGGTTAATCGCTCGGCTGCTAACCAAAAGGTTGGTGGTTTGAACCCATCAGCCTCTCAAAGAGAAAGATGTGGCAGTCTGCTTCTGTAAAGATTCAAATAAAAAAAAAAGGACCCGTTGCCATCAAGTCAATTCTGACTTATAGCAACCCTATAGGACATGGTAGAACTGCCCCATAGGGTTTCCAACACTGTAGTCTTTATGGAAACAGACTGCCACATCTTTCTCTTGTGAAGTGGCTAGGGGGGTTTCCATGAACCGCCCGCCTTTTGGTTAGCAACCAAGCACTTAACCACTGCACTGCCAGAGCTCCTTTGTAGAGATTACAGCCTTGAAAACCCTATAGCGCAGTTCTCCTCTGTCCTACAGGGTCGCTATGGCTTGGAAACGACTTAAAGGCCATGGGTGGGTTTACTGAAAATATGTCAAGGACATCTTTGAATAGCAGTAAATATAGATCTATAACATCTTAGAAATGCACTTAATTTTAATCACTACTAAAGTAACAGATACTTTTATAAAATGCAAGCTATATAGAAATATATACAAAGAAAACCTCCCATAATTTCCCATCTTCCACAGATGATACTGGTAGTAAATATTTTTCTTTGCACATTCCTATATGTGCATGTATGTGTGTGCTTTGCTCCACATTATATATACTTAGTTTTCCATCTTAGATGCCTTTTCAGGGAGCCCTGGTGACGCAAAAGGTTAAGCACTTGGCTGCTGATTGAAAGGCTGGCAGTTCAAACCCACCCAGCAGCTCTTTGGGAGAAAGACCTGACAATCTGCCTCCATAAAGATTATAGCCTAGGAAACCCTATGGGCAGTTCTACTCTGTCACATGGGGTTGCTATGAGTTGAAATCAACTCAGTGGCATCTAACACACACACACACACATGCACACACACACACACACTGATGTCTTCATGTCAGTATCTATATCGTGTTTTTCTCTATTACAAAATACATGTTGTTTATGTATCTTTGTGAATGTGATCTGCTATTTCTTTAGGATACATTGCTAGGTTTCTGAGCAATTGAAATCTTCACTCTCAGAGCCAGAATTCCCATTGCCATCAAGTCGATTCCGACTCACAGTGACCCTATAAGACAGAGTAGAACTGTCTCATAGGGTTCCCAAGGCTGGAATCTTTACAGAAGCAGACTGCCACATCTTTCTCCTGCAGAGCGGCTGGTGGGTTCCAGCCTGCTGACCTTTCAGTTAGCAGCCAAGCACTGCCTTTGCACATACAGTGTGTACAAATTTCTGTTTCCCTACACCCTTCTCTGTACTGAATTTTGCCAGTCTTCTTCATTCCTGATTAACTGAGAGGTAAGTTATGATTTTTCATTACTGTTTTTATTTACAGTATTTGGGTTACTAGTGAGGCGGAATATCTTTTCTCCATTTCTTATTCTCTTAGCTATTCCCTAGTTACAGTCCTACCTCTTCTCTTAGCTAGAAATGGAAAACTAACACCACAGCATGACTTGAAAAAAGCTTAGAGTCAGAGCTTAAATATAAAGACCTCCCTGTTGGGCGCTCAGCCCTGAATCACCCCTTGAATGTTTCTGATATGAGAGAAGTGATCCCATTGAAATAGGAAGGTTGCAGTGTTCTGATGATCTCACCAAATCTGAGTGAGAGGAAGTACAGAACTCCAGCCTCTCGACCTTAGCTTACTGGAAGGACTGCTGGAGTTCCAAAGCATTGCAGTGTATCTCCCAATCTTCCTGTGCTTTTTCTCATTAGTATCTGTCTTTCTCTGACATCATTTCCCCATTTACTTTCCAAACTGTAATGTAAGGAACTCGTGTGTAGGACCCCACCCACTTCCCAGCTCCCTGTCACCAGTAACCAAATGTGTGATTCCTTGCATTGGTACAGTTTCCTTCTTTGTCAGACTCATTTTCAGTGTCAACGACAGCATAATGTGCTTCTTGCAAAACGAAGTCATTTGTGTTCTTTAAATTGGAAGCCTTCCTTTTTTTCACAGGGGAAGTAAAGAACAGAAAGTATAACCCAGCAAGTTTCCATAGGTTTGGCTTGTATGGAGTCCCAACACCACATTTTAATGATGGACGAACCATGGCAAAAACTTTATACTGGCTCCACGAACTACAAATGTAAGTTCAATTGTATTGTGCCCTGGAACAAGTGTTAGATATTTCACATGTGGACTTAAAGCAAAGTTCATTTTTTAATTTAATTTTTATAAGAGGTAGTACATTGAACATAAAATGAATAGAAAAAGGCGTACAGTGAACTGCTTCCCCTGCTGATCCTCATTCTATTCAATTCTCCCAGAGATAACCATGATACTGGTTGTTATTTATTTATTTATTTATTTATTTTGTATGTGTATGTATCATTCTAAAGTTATTTCATGCCTTTACAAGCAAATATAAGGACATATATGTCTGTTTTTAAATCTATGGGATCAACTCTATTTACGTCTTAAAGAAAGTGGGCTTTCAAATCTCCACAAGGATTATTACATCACATAGAATTCATCTAACATTTATTATTCCGTTTTATTTAAGAGTTATTTGGGCACCGAGCATCTGACTTAACTCTGACCTTTTTATGCCTTCATTATATATATGACTGCTTCCCTAGAAAATGAAAATGATGTTCCTAGTTTTTGTTTTTGTTTTTTTCTTTTTCCTGTGTTATATTTTCTATTTGAGCCAACATTTAACATTAGGAGATTACTCATAAAAATCCAGATTTCCTGCTATGCTTAAAACAATCAAGGGAACATTGTTTATGGAACAGTATTTTATGTGGTTGTACTTTTTTGTATTTTGAAACTTAATTGGACTATTCTAGCTGAAGCAGTAGGGATATTCTTTATTTCGTTGGTTGTGTGATTTTTTAGAAAGCTTGCTCACTACTGTATTCTTCAGTGTGATTTCTGTTATAAACTTGGAGTCAAACATGTTTTTTACATTTTAGCCGTCTCCAATTTTATATGCACTATTTTAATGTAAATTTGGTTTATCCTCCACTTTTAAGGAGTGTATTTCCTTTGTAAAACTATATCCCCTTTATGATCCTTTGGTTTGAAGAATCAGTTTGAATCTCAGATGGCAGTGTGTGCATGAGTGTGTGTGTGTGTGTGTGTGTGTGTGTGTGTGTGTGTGTGTGAATGAATGAATGGGTTCCCGGCACACGAAGAACTTTATTCTGAGTTAGTTAACCAATGTCATGAGGTTCTGTAGTGATATTGAAGTTATCAATATTATAATGTACATGGCTACCCGCAGATACTTCCTGATTCTCTCAGGAGCATAATCCAGGCCCTTTCAGAATAAAAAGGGGCTGCTCTGTGATTCACAGTTCAATTTTTTTTTTTAATTTTTTTTATTGTACTTTAGTTGAAGGTTTACAGAACAAATAGTTTCTCATTAAGCAGTTAGTATACATATTGTTTTATGACATTAGTTAACAACCCCATGACATGTCAACACTCTCCCTCCTCGACCTTGGGTTCCCTATTACAGCTTTCCTGTCCCCTCCTGCCTTCTAGTCCTTGTCCCTGGGCTGTTGTGCCCCATTAGTCTCGTTTTGTTTTATGGGGCTGTCTAATCTTTGGCCGAATGGTGAACCTCGGGAGTGACTTTATTACTGAGCTAAAAGGGTGTCCGGGGGCCATACTCTCGGGGTTTCTCCAGTCTCTGTCAGGCCAGTAAGTCTGGTCTTTTTTTGTGAGTTAGAATTTTGTTCTACATTTTTCTCCAGCTCTGTCTGGGACCCTCTGTTGTGATCCCTGTCAGAGCAGTCAGTGGTGGTAGCCAGGCACCATCTAGTTGTCCTGGACTCAGTCTAGTGGAGGCCGTGGTAGTTGTGGTCCATTAATCCTCTGGACTAATCTTTCCCTTGTATCTTGTTTTCTTCATTCTCCCTTGCTCCCAAAGGGATGAGACCAGTGGAGTATCTTAGATGGCTGCTGACAGGCTTTTAAGATCGCAGATGCTACTCACCAAAGTAGAATGTAGAACCTTTTCTTTATAAAGTGTGTTATGCCAATTGAGCTAGATGTTCCCCGAGACCATGGTCCCCACAGCCCTCAGCCCAGAAATTTGGTCCCTCAGGGAGTTTGGATGTGTCTGTGGAGCTTCCATGACCTTTCCTTGTACAAGTTGTGCTGGCTTCCCCAGTATTGTGTACGTCACAGTCCTCACTCTTATCATCCCTGCATGTTGCTTGATTATGTCCCTTGGAGCTGATTTTGGATTGTTAACTCCATTCAAACTATGGCCAATAAACTGCCCTTGTCTTATTCTGACTTGAGTTTGTCCTTTTTTTCTTTTCTAACAAATGGGAAGGAAATGAAGAAATGAAAGATGAATTATTTTATATTTAATCTTTTGTTTCTCCACAGAGTGTCACTCTTCTCCAGTAATTTATTCAGCTTAGTAATATTTCTATAATATAGGAAATACTTTTAAAAGCAAATGGAATTTAAGAATCTAATGTTCATTGTTTTTATTCTTAGCAAAACAATAGAGAATTTATTAATTTTAATGTAATTAAATAGTAGTGTTGTAATTTTACAGTTTGAAAAAAAATTATTCACTTAATCACAACAATGGCATTAACAAAATTATTTTATAGAAAATTGGTAAAATATAATCACCCATAATCTGCTTACCTTACTTCAACCATTATTAGTATTTTAATGTATTTTTTTCTGGTATGGTTTTCTGTGTATATTTTTGCATAGCTTTAATAAGAGTGCAATATCATTTTATATTCTGCCTTTTCACTTACCATAATTTTATATTGTTATATATCCTTCATAACCATCAGTTAAAATGCAAGTAGATTTCATGTGACATAATTTAAGATCAACCACATGATTGGATATTTAGATGATTTTCTTTTTCTTTTGTAGTCAATAAGGCCACAAACGCTTTCATACATAAAACTTTTCCACATTTTGAATGTGAATTATCTCCTTATGACTCGTTCCTAGAAGTAGGAAAAAAGCATGAACATTTTTATGCTTTTTATTTATATTGCCAAATTATATCCATATTGGGTAGTCTATGTATGTATGTTTGTTTGCATGCATGCATCTGTCTACCTACCTACCTACCTAAATTTGCTTGTTTGCTGTCTGTCTGCATTTGCTTGTTTGCTAGGTTAAAAGCGGCACTTTACTATCTTATTTTATCTTTATTTTCTTACTAGACAATATTATAATTTCTCCATATATTTGCTTACTAAATGTGAGTTATCTGTTTATATCCTTTGGTTATTTATCTGTTTGATGCTTCATTTTCTTTTAGCAATTTTAGGAGTTACACCTGTAATAACAATATTAACACTTTTTTCTTATTTACTACAAATATTTTTTAAGTGTGCTTACCTTATTCTTTAATCAAAAGTTATTTTTAAAATAGAATATAAATGATAGACATGAACACATAAAGTTTTCTTTTCAGCATACACTTACTTTTGACTCTGGATTTGTTATTTGAAAGCCCAAATGATACTGTGGTATTCCTCACCACAAGTACATTTGGCAGCCAAGAATATCTTAGGTAATAGAGGTGCCTGACAATTTTCTAATTTTACAGGAAAAGAGGAGCTAAAGTTGTATCCAAGAGAGTTGATGATTTCAAAGAGAAGTTTCAGCATAAACTTGGAAGAGTTTTAGACCCGTAAGTTGATGATTAACATCAAATTCGTAGTCTTTGCACTGAATTAAAAAGTACTCTTGTGGTAAATGTTGGTTTGTGTTCTATTAGATTCTAGATATTAAATAAGAAAATAGTTCTTTTGTTGTTTATCAGTCCAACTTGATTAGCCTTTATGAGCTTGGAGTTGCAGGAAAATGGTGAGTCCTCCAAGACGAAGAGGCCATTTGGAGAAGAGGGAGGGTGAATGTTCTGTAAAGCTTTATTTCAGTACACACACATACACACACGTATAACTTTATATCTATCTGTTATCCTTCAGCAGTTCTCCTTTGAACGTGTTCTCATTTTGTTTTCTTTTTATATCTGGGCTACTGAAAACCCGTAAAAGCATTTAGCCACTGTTAATGCAAGTGGAATATCAGATGGAAGATCTGTTGGAGAACTTTTTTTTGATCTCCATAGTTTGGTTATAGGAGAAAGCATAGGCTATTAAGAGCATATGAAAAACATATTTTAAATTTCAGTGATGCCATGTGGTAAGTATTTTAACTAAAGGATTTGTTTTCTTTGATAGCATTGCAGAAACAATGAATGTTCCCCCAGACCACACATTTGGAGCTTGCCTCCGTCCTGAGGAGTATGGTAAATATACAAATTTTCTCCTTAAAAAAAAAAACCAAAAAACTATGCAGTTAAGTTCACCAACTCCTTCTTTCGAGGCTTCTAATTTTAAAGACTCAAAATGTTGCATTAACAGTTATGAGAAAAAAATATAGTACGAGAGAGAAAAAAATTATTTCATGTTATGTTTGAAATAGGTACAGTTTAGAACCTTTTAATGAATACATTAAAGTGTAGTTAAGGCTTTACATTTTATTTAGAAAATAAATATTGTCTGTATTAAACAAGCCAAAGTGAAGTGCAACAGTTTTCTAATGAATTCAGATAGTACTAGGCCCTTAGGTCGCAAAGTGTGGTCCACAGACTGGCAGTAGTGGTGTACCCTGAGAGCTTGTTAGAAATGCAGAATCTCAGGGCCCACTTCAGACCTACTGGGTCAGAATCTGCTGTTTAACAAGATTCCCAAATGAGTTGTAGGCACATGAAAGTTTGTGAAAGCACTGTACTGGACAACCACATAATTAAGAACCAGTCGATCAATCCATAAAGATGCAGAAGACACTAGGATTTTGTCTTTATTTATAAGCATTCTAAACAACAGACATCAAAAGGGGGAAAAATAAGTTAAAGCTGTCTATCAGTGGTTTTCAGAACATGGTCTGCAGTCTACCTACATTAAAATCACTCAAGCAGTTTATTAAATATGCAGGTTCCTGGGACCCATGCCCAGATATTCTGATTTGGTAGATTCTTATATACACTAGAGTTTAAGAACCACTACTGAAAATATTTTAGCTAATCTACTCACTGGGAAATGAAATAAATATTTTTTGAGCTTAATATATTGGAGCATCATTAATCAATACATTAGGAAATTGTATTTTGGTTCTATTATAAGCTGAGCTGTTGTATCTTTAATAGATGCCTTTAGAGGGAGTAAGAGGTGATTTAGAAAATCTATCAATTTACCTGGAAAACAGGCAGTTAATCATGCTACACTCTGTCTAGTTGTGGGTGAGCTTCCTGTGGGGGCGTGCTCTGTCTTACTGACTATTGGATCCTCAAACACCTTTCATCAATGTTTATAGCATGAATTGATGAATCCAATGCACTGTTTATCATTTTGACAATTTGACAACATTGACAAATTTCCTCATGGTTGATCGACATTATCCTCATAGACTGAATGATAAGGTAGTCTTATAAAATGAAAGGAACGGAAACTGATATTAATAATTTTAAAAGTATATGAGTCCCAGCCTTGGTGCTGTATGGTGCTACTGTAAAAGGGAGCTGTAAGTCCTCTCTGGACTTTTTTTTTGGAGCTCTGGATGGGCACAGATTAATTCTGCTTTGTGTTCTGGATTTTGTGACTATTATTGGTTTAGCTAATAGCATCTATTCAGTGGAAAGCTGCAAGGACTGTCTACTTCCAGGGCATATTAGTTTCTTTACTGGACCTGGATTTCTCCTTTTCCCTTACTTAGGGAAATAAAGGCAGCTGCACTAAGATTGCCTCATCCACAGGGTCTGGAGTTGTTGCTTGTGCTAAGATGCCTCAAGGAAGAGTGCAAGTCTGTGTTCAGCTCCCAGAATGCACCAGGACAGAGGTAGAGTGAAGGGGAATCCAGGGCAGGTGGACAGTCATGCATCATGGTCTCTGGTTGTAGTCGGAGTGTAAGTGAGGAGCCCGCTCAGCTTTACTGACTAACGTGGTGTGGTAGCTAGGTCATAGATCTCTCTCTTAGGGCTAGAGCTTGCACTCCTGATTTCAGCTCTTTAGAGATGGCTCTTGAGTAATTGCAAGTGATATGACACCAGCTTCGTGGATATTCTTTCAAGGCCAGGCCAGAAGAAGGTAGAACATAGGTCTCACCCATCAGGCAGTTAACCTGGTTAGAGTGTAGTGGGAAAACTAATGTGGAGATGAAAAAACAACCATTCAAATGGCTATCTTTGGATGTTAATGGTGAGGGCAGACCTCTGAAAAGAAAAAAAATAATCAACCAAAAGCCATCTCATGGAATGAGTGTCTCCATTGCAAAGAATAGCCCCCTAAAGGATTTATATCTGGGGAAGGGGTATGGAGTAGGAAAGGAATTCATGTCTATTTGTCAGAAATCATCCCTAGAGGCAGGGCAAGACGATGAAGTGAGTGGATGCTCCCATTTACTCCCCCAGCAACTAACTCACCGAATAACTAATAAAAACAAGCCCAGACTGAGATCTCAGTACTCCGGACAGCAGCTGAGGTATTGGAGAGTCTGGATGACTCCAGAAGCAGGGGAGAAGAGGAAGAAGTCGACTCAGAAGCTGAAGATCCTACCTGCTAACATCAGAAGTGCTCGCTCATTGCAGCCATTTTGGGACGGGGCTGGCTAACACCCCAGACATGGAACACAGAAAAGGAGCTAATCTGAGAAAGCAATAGTCCAATTTTTTTTTAAGGTGGTGCAAATTGGCCATGGGAGTTGGCAGGCTGTGCAATTGGGAGGGGGCAAAGGGAGACTGTGGCATTGCATGAGAGTGCCGTTGAATCTCTCTGAGGCCCCAGACGGATGAGTATTAGGACCAGGAGGAACTGCAAGGGCAGCAAGGTGAGGGGAATACTTCAGACTGACAGGTACAAAGGAAATGGCCTATAGTGGGGCACTGTGGGACTCTCTGTTCAGGGGCGTTGGTAAGGGAAAGACATAGAAATTCCCACGCCATCGCCACAGGAAAGTCGAGCCCCACTGCTTATGGCAGGGTCTTCGAAGAACTAAACCTCTTCCACTCCTCTACATGTATACTGGATTCCAGAGACCAAGCATACAGAACTCCTGAACCAACACTGAAACAAACCTAAGGATAGGAGTGCCATTTAGTGGTTCTCAGGAGAAGATACCACGCCTGCTGCTACTGGGTCATTTTGGAGTGGCTAGTGGGTGAGGGCCCCAGCCTTTCAGTTGGCAACCAGGGGCTTGGCTGCTGTGCCAGCAGGGTGCCAAATCAGAGAATTTACCCACAATAAACAGAATAGAAAACTTGAAGCAAAATAAAAAAAAAGATAACAAAATGGCCCAAGTTCAACAAAAGTTAGTAAAACACACGAAATCACAAGGCAAAAAAAGCACAACTGCTTTATTCACAATAGCAAATACATGGAAACAACTGAAATGTCCTTCAACGGATGAATGGATAAGCAAACTGTGATACATATATATAATGGAATACTGTGCAACCATAAACAACAATGATGAGTCTTCTAAACATTATAATGTGGATGGACTGGGAGGGTATAATGCTTAGTGAAATAAAGCAAGCATATAAGGACAAATATTGTATGATCCCTATTTTATAAGAAGACAAAAATAGATAAATATAGAGAAATCAATGTTCGTTGGTGGTTACGAGGAAGGGGGAGGGGTGGAGAAAGTATGCTTTATAAAGTTTGTTGTTAGGTGCCATCATGTTGGTTCCAACTCATAGCGACCCTATGCACCACAGAATGAAACACTGCCCGGTCCTGCACCATGCTCACAATCGTTGTTATGCTTGAGCTCCTTGTTGCAGCCACTTGTGTTAATCCATCTCTTTGAGGGTCTTCCTCTTTTTCGCTGACAGTGTACTTTGTCAAGCATGATGTCCTTCGCCAGGGACTGATCCCTCCTGACAACATGTCCAAAGTATGTAAGATATAGTCTCGCCATCCTTCCTTCTAAGGAGGATTCTGGTTGTACTTCTTCCAAGACAGATTTATTTGTTCTTTCGGCAGTCCATGGTATATTCAATATTCTTTGCCAACACCACAGTTCAAAGGCATCAGTTCTTCTTTGGTCTTCCTTATTCATTGTCCAGCTTTCGTATGCATATCAGGCGATGGAAAATGCCATGGCTTGGGTGAGGAGCATGGTAGTCTTCAAGGTGACAGCTTTGCTTTTCAACACTTTAAAGAGGTCTTTTGCAGCAGATTTGCCCAATGCAATGTGTCTTTTGATTTCTTGACTGCTGCTT